AGCTTTCTATTTGAATATATTTAAAAATGTAATTTATTCCTGTGATCAGTGTTATGATAGGGCAATATTTGGCCGAGATACAACTATTTGAAAATCTGGATTCTGAGGGTGCAAAAAAAAATCAACATATTGAGAAAATTGCCTTTAAAGTTGTCTAAATTAAGTTCTTAGCAATGCATATTACTAATCAAAAATGAAGTTTTGATATATTTATGGAAGGAAATTTACAAAATATCTTCATGGAACATGATCTTTACTTAATATCCTAATAATTTTGGCATAAAAGAAAAATCTATAATTTTGACCCATACAATGTTTTTTGGCTATTGCTACAAATATACCCCAGCGACTTAAGACTGCTTTTGTGCTCCAAGGTCACATATAAAAAACATGACTAATTATGGCTATTTATTTGCTGATATATATACACTAGCCGTTCAACATTTGGGGTCTATAAAATGTTTAGATGTTTTTGAAAGAAGTATCTCATGCTCATCATCATATATATATTGATCAAAATGATTTGATAAAAACAGAAATATTGTGAAATAGTTTTACAATTTAAAATAACAGCTTTCTATTTGAATATATTTAAAAATGTAATTTATTCCTGTGATCAGAGCTGAATTTTCAGCATCGTTACTCCAGTCTTCAGTGTCACAGGATCCTTCAGAAATCATAATACCATAATATGCTGGTTTGCTGCTCAAGAAACATTTTTGATTCTTATTATTGCTGAAAACAGTTTTGCTGCTTTGTATTTTTGTGGAAACTTTTTGATGAATATGAAGGTCAAAAGAACAGCGTTTATTTGATATATACACAACTTTTGTAACATTATAAATGTCTTTACTGTCACTTTTGATCATTTTAATGCATCTTTGCTGTTAGTCGTTTCAGAAAAATATTTCTGACCCCAAACTTTTGAACGGTAGTGTAGAGTGCATTTTCACACCTGATTAGACATGTTTATCTAAAATAAGTTAAATACTGTCAACACAATTAGTTATGTAATTAAGAGAAAACATCAATGCTTCTTTCTCTCAAGTATTAATAACATAATAAATGAAGCATACGTTTTTCATTAAAATGATTAAAAAAAAGAATGTTCTAAACCCTTTGTTTCTTCCGTGGAACAAAGATATTTTGAAAGGCAATGAAATCAAAACAACACTTGAATCCACTCACAGAATATAGAAAGTTATGTGAAATGACGAATGAATTGGTGAATGTGTTGATGCTGTCATGCACGAGTGCTGGCACTTGATCTTTGACACACATGATCTTTATGGTGTTTTCATCATTCAAGCACTGTATTCTTCACTAAACTTGATTCCTCTTGACTTCACTAAACCCAGATGAATCACCGGATGCTGAGGATTATTCTGCACCGCCGTCATGTTCAGTGAACCCCAGTGATTCACTCACCTCTCATCAGCCCAAAGCGTCCAGCGGGTTTCACTCATTCACTTCAACCCACATCACTGCTCACAAAACATCACAGCAGGTAAGACGGAAACCCTGCTTCATCTACAGGAATAGAAGCATAAATAAATGGAATATGGGCCGTGTTACATCAGAGGGGAAAATTATGTCATTCTTTCCTTTTTCCCCCCAAATGTTTAAATCCACAGGACGTCAGACCTCCACAGAGTCCACATGCTTGGTAGATGATGTTTGGTTCATCAAAGATGCGTTTACGAAGGATTAATCATTTTTAATGCATTCATAAGATATTTAACTCTTTACAAATGTAATGTTTTTCTCCCAGGAGACTGATGGCAATGCTTTGCATTTGAGGACTGATATAAACGGGACTGAAATTAGAATCTTAAATTGTGCTGTCACACTGAGAGAAAACAAAACATATTACGTGTCATATTTTCACATATTTATTGTTTCTGACTCGATTATTAATTGCAGTTTAAAAATGCATGTTTGTATTTATATACAGAGTACGATTATAGAACGTAGTCCAACAACAGCGTTGGAAAGATACACAATGCTGATACGGTCTTTCAACCGTGAAACATTTTTGGTTACAGATGTTCTGCTTTGCCAGAGAAATCATTATCATAATGTGATGAATTGCTTATGCTCCTCAGCTGTAAGTGGCCTTGGATAAAAGCATCTGCTACATGTGTGAATGTGTGAATGTGTATGTACATTTTTGAGCCAAAACAGAGATGATTTATAGTCTATATGAAACTCTCTTTACTGCTACAGCATAGTACATAAACATGAATAATCTTGATAAATGAAAACATTTGGTCCATATATTATTATTACTTTGAAATGCATTAGTCATATTTAATTACTTATTCAGTAAGTGATAAAAAAGTCACTAGAGTTATTAATCACTAGAGTTATAATTAATAATAAAAAAGATTACAGTATCAGGCATTTCCTTAAAGGGACCATGGATGTGGCCACCATTAACCTTCATGGAAAAGAACAGCTTGGACACTCAGCTAGGAAACTTTTTTTGTAAATCAATATGAGGGTGAGTAAATGACTAACAAAAACATAGTGTTTCCACTAAAATGACTTGAAAGGCTGAAGCCAATTAAAATTAATGTGAGCAAAATCATATATATACAACAGTTTTCCAACCTCTTAATTGGCTGGTAAAGCTGTTGAGTTTAAGACTCAAAAAGGAAGCAGACTACATTTGCAAGTGATTAAAGAGATCCTTCTTTAACCATCCTTCAAACTGATGCCATTTAAAACCACACATACAATATCTCTGCTGTATTAGCCTTCTAGAAGTCACTAGAAAATCATTTAGGTTTTATCACTAGAAAATTATTTTGTAAAATATTTGCACTACAAACCAGGATGTTTATAATTAGGAGAATACATTAAAATAATATGATAATAAATTTGTAATATCAAGCAGCATAATGACCTGTTTTGTATCGCTAAAAATAACTGGAAGCTAAGACACCAGAAGCCGTGCACATTCAAGTTAAAAAATGGCCGCATCCACTCTTAGATACATAAAAAATAAGGTGGATAAACTAACGTTTCAAACACCCATGGAAATATTACATATGTTTGGGGTCTCTGAAACTTACAGAAATGCATTTAAAGGGGTCATATGATGCTATTTTAAAGATCATTATTTTGTGTCTTTGGTGTAACAGAACATGTTGACATGCTTTAATGTTCAAAAAACACATTATTTTTCAAATACTGTACATTATTGTAGGTCCTCTATGCCCCGCCTCTCTCAAACACGTCGTTTTCAACAAAGCCCCCTCCTTTGACAAGTGCAGTCTGCTCTGATTGGCCAGCTGACCCAGTGCATTGTGATTGGCTGAACACCACAAGCACGAGTCGGAAATGTAACGCCCCTTACCATAATCGCGAGCGTCAGCTTTCAAAGTAAGAATGTATCAAGACAGTTAATAATGTCGTTAGTTTTACCATCAGTTCAAGCCTGAAAGGGCAACAGAGTCGCGTGACAGACACAGTGATGATGCAGTACACAAGCCGCGGTTAAGACAGCTGACGTGCTATGATTTCTGACAGGCAGTTCACTCTCCTGTGATGTGACCCTGTTCCCCTCACACACACACACACACACACACACACACAAGCGTTACTCTGCGCTGCGCAATACTCCGCATTTGAACAGTCAATAGCAAATACTTAAACTAATAACAAAACAGTAGCTGATTCAGAAGCGCCAGATTGTCATAGCAAAGTCGGAATTGACCCTTTTTTTTTTTTTTTAGAAATAGCCTTTGTGCACAGCCAGCCTTGTACTCGTCTATGTTTAAAAAACTGTCGTCCATAAAATGCGTTGCACAAATTCGAACATCTGGGTTGTGCTGTTCTGATGTAAATAAATCTTAACCAATGATTCCTAATTGCATGATTTGCATCTACTTCCGGAAGGCCAAATAAAGTGCTTTTGCTTTCACACTGAAACACAGCGTCTCCCTGACATGCTGCATCAACACTACTGCGTTCCTGAAACCACGCCGCCTTTCTTTGCGTGAACATTTGGGCGGCATTATGCTAATATTTCCACATAGTGAGGTAGATATGTGGGGGCGTGTTAGAACGAGCCGTTTTAGGTAGGCGTGGCTGATTCTTAACTTTTATAAAGAATATCTCTTTGGATTTGAGACTTTAGTCTTTGCAACTTTACAGATCTTCTTTATGCACCAAGAGCTTGTAACACTCCAAAGAGAAAGAAAAACTTGAAATCGCATCCTATGACCCCTTTAAACATTCTAAGGCTGATGATACACAAGCAACATTCTGAGCAATGTTGCTAGGGCACTTTCCCATTGAGAATGGGTAACAAATTTATATCTGGATAGTTTACATCGGTCGTGGGCCTGTGTCTCACCTGGTTACCTGTCGATGGCAATATTGCCCAAAGTTGCCCCAGCAACATTGCTCAAAAAGTTGCTCCGTGTATCATCAGCCTAAGATTCGAACACATTTACCAGCTGTTTTCTTTCACTTCTTTTACTGAATTTTCTGCAGTGTTTTGCTGGGCTCAAACTGACCCAAAATTTAAACAACATTTCTGTTTGAACAATTGACATTTAATATCTTTGAGAAAATGTCTAAAATTGTAATTGTTTAGGATATACATTTTCCTGTCATTTCTTTCTTCCCCTGACATGTTTGGTTACACTATTTGTAGAAAACATTTGGCTCTCAATAAAAATAATTGTAAAACTCCTGTAAAGTGCACGGCTATGCGAAGAATAGAAAAAAGAAGAATACTGCCTGTCTGTCTTCTGGATTTTAACTAGGTCAGATGAACATATTTACAGAAAATGGAAGTAAACGAGGCTGATTTAAAATAAGCTGTTATTATTACCTCGCATATGGCACTGGAGTCTTTGGGAACCCCAACATGCAGAACAGAGAGAATTTGCAATAGGTATAAAGACCGTTCACCAACAGATTCGCACGTAAAGCATGCATACTGTGGTTAATAGGCTGTTTACTGACACGAGCTCCCTAGGAGCAGGGTTGCAAGCATCCAATTTGCGCAAACGCAGACGAGGAGCAGCAGTGTGGTGATGATGCTCGGTGCATGCCGCATGTCTTGCGTCGCATAGCGCACATACACAGACGGAAGCGGGCTCGTGTCAGCTGGAATCACCTTTACACATTATTTGGCGTTCAGTAAACGCGACGAATCCGAGGAATTTGGGTTCGCCACACGCGAAACCGGACGGCTTGCGAGCACCAGCACATTTCCATCAGCCTCTAACGCGTTACTTGAAGGTAAGAGGCGATGCATGCGTGCATATGCAGCTGTAAAGACATTTATGCGCGTCGCAGTCATGCGTGTTTCTTTTTTTGCTTTTGCCATTTAATGCAGCGAAACGATCTTACAGGCGTCAATGGTGAATGGGTGAACGTGTGAATGAATGAATGCATGCGCGAGCGACTGAGTGAGAACGCACTCGCATGCATTATTAGTAGCCTGCGTGGCCTGATTTGAGCACTTTGCGCAGGTTAAGGGTGTATTAGGCTTTCATTAAAACAGTATATGTGATGCATTTGGCAGCTACCGATACAATTGCAACAAAAGCTCACTGGTTGCTTGTTACTGAGACGAACCTTTGGTATTGTGTAATGAATTTGAGAGATGCACTGATGTTTCTCAGCCTCACTTGAGAGGTTTTTGATGTGATTTGAGCGCAGTGCAATGCACAGGCAAAAGGGACTGCGTCTTTTCTCTGCGGGCTCTGGTGGAATGGTCCAGATTCACACTGGTGCATCAATAAAAACACACGAAAATGCCCGTTTGGGATGGTAAATGTGAATAGGCTCGGTTATACGTATATGCAAATGATGTTCTACCCATATTCTGTCACACCAAAAGGCTCGTGATGTATAAACGGCATCTAAAGCAAACGCACAGATGGTGACACGATGCTCTTCAACGGATCTTTTTCTTCGTGAAGTCCGATAATTCCTCCGTTAAAGATCACGGATCGTTATTCTGCATCGCTTCCCAGTGGCTTCCCTTCTCAAGGTCATTCGTTCAGCCATTGGTGCTTGAAAAAGCCTCAGCACTATTACATAAGAGTGACATGAGATTGGGTGGTGGGTAATAATTCCTGACTGTCTTTAATTAAAGCCATTCTTATCAAATGTGCTGTTTTTCACGCTCACATTTGATGCAGGAGAGGCTGCAAACACAGACAGACGCTCCACATGGAAATAAAAAGCTCCTCTCCAACCCCTCCCCGTTTGTAGCCTATTTTACCTGATGCTCATTTACACACAAACTCTTGAGACTTTGAGCTATTTCGAGAAGCAGAAACACAGCCAGGCTGCTTGCCACGAGCTGATCACACTTGACATCTTTGTGTTCATTATTTTATAACTAGTAGCCTACTTTGTGTGCATTATATTGTGGAGATAGTTGTAAATGGCCTATACATTTGCATTCATATGTGAAATAATTTAATTTGCTTGACATCAAATTGCTCCTGCTTTATATGTCTAGCTTATTTTGCAATGCGGAAGTAAGCTATTTTCTGTGAAAATTAGATTTCCAATTCGTTAGGTGCAAATAATATTTTTTGGAACTGACAGAATGTGGAATCACCACTTCTGTTTATTGTCCATCGGCCCAGTTATTGGCTGATGCAATAACTTCAATTTCATATTTCAAAGTAACCAAATATCAGCCTGCAGTTGCAAGAAAGCTCTTACATTGAGAAAACCTCAATGCACTTTTCATTATATCTTATATATATATATATATATATATATATATATATAAAACAGTTTCTTGCATATAGGTCCCGGACTTATTGTCTTGCAAATAGGTCCCGGACTTATTGGCTAATAAAGCAAGGTATAATTAAAAAAAATTTAATCAACATTGTCAAGAGTATATATCTAAAATATTTGAACAGCACACATTTTATAATTTGAGTTATTATTTTTTTTAAATATAAATACTGTGTAGAATAAGCATTATTTCAGCAAATTTGTGTACTCTAAAAAATGGTGCAGAAACAATTATTACTCAAAAATTGCTAGTGAATTGCATAAATAATAAAAAATTTACGCAAGTACACACTACATTAAATGTGAAAATTTGAAGTAGAAAAAAAATTAAATCATATTTTCTTGTAAAATTACTCCAATAATCTTAATTTACAACTTTGAGAGAGAGGAAAAAAAAAAATATATATATATATATATGTTTTACAGTGTACATATTATTTGCTGTTGTTGAATTGTATTATGTATATATCTGCCATCCTCCTACCAATACACTGTTTTTAATGGCTAAAGCTCATATCAGCACTAGCTTTTAACACGTGAACAACCACAAAAAAAAAGAAGATTATTTTGTGACAGTTTACGTTGATGCTCTATATTGCTATCAGTGTCTATAAATGGATTAAAATTCAACTCAGATTCTCATTTCAGGTGAGGAGCAGCAGTCAGAAAATAACTGTAGAGATGCCATATCCATTAACAGTTTAAATCTACACCCATATCTCTTATTAGATACCTGGGAGAACATTCTATAACCATATTATTTTATCCATAATATTATATTATTTCTTTTTTTCTTTCTCATGAAGTAATCATGGGAAAACAGAACAGCAAACTGACCCCTGAGGTGATGGAGGACCTTGTGAAGAACACAGAGTTTAATGAACATGAGCTCAAGCAATGGTACAAGGGCTTCCTGAAAGACTGTCCCAGCGGTCGACTAAACCTGGATGAGTTCCAGCAGCTCTATGTTAAGGTGAGAATCTATGGGTTTTACCGCAATTCAAAGATCACTATTACCACTATTACCCCCTACTTGGGGCTTTTACTAAGTTTTAAAGGGATAGTTCACCCAAAAATGAATTTTCTGTCATCATTTCCCCTCATGTTGTTCCAAACCTGTTTGACTTTCTTCTGTTGAACAAACAAACAAAAAAAAGATATCTTTATAGATATCTCTACTTTGAGGATTATTGATAGTAACCATACAACCATGCAAGCTTTGAAAAAATATATAGATTGATTAATAAAAAAGGTCAGGTAAAAGGAGAAGAGAGCTAAAAAAAGAAAAAAATTGGGGCCTGTAAAAAAACAAAAACAAACAAACAAGAAAAAACGGGCAACCGTTCAGAACTCCCTAGCAATTGTATTGCAACTTTGGCAGCCAGTAAATTTGTAATAATTTGACATTTTACTTTGAGGAATACTGAAATTAACCATGCAATCGTGTAAAAATATAGTTATTAAAAAGGTCAGGAAAAAGAAGACATTGAAAAAAACTGGAGCCTGAAAAAAAAAAAAACACATGGCAATGATTCAGAACACCTCAGCAGCCAGTAAATATTCAATTCTACTTCGAGGATTATTAAAAATAACCATGCAAGTTTTGTAAAAATGTAGATGAATTTAATAAAAAGGTCAGAAAAGGAAAAGAGAGCTACAAAAAAGAAAGTAAGTGTCCTAGTATGTTTAACGTGAGACAGTAGGGTTACACATTTTACTGTAGAGAAGCACAAACTAGTCAAAGCGGCCGTCTGTGAAATTTTATTCATAGAACGACTTGAGACACTGTGAGATGTGAGGACCTCAGTGAAAACACGCTGTTAGATGTACTTGTGCCCAAGGAATGAACCTGAAGCAAAGAACAGAACCTGCTGTAGAAAATTCAGACATGAAAATCAATAAGCGTTCACAAATCCCTCTTAAAGGAACAGTTCACTCAAAAACGAAAACACCGTCATTATTTACGGATGTTCATGTCAATCCAGAGCTGTATGTGGGCAGACGTTTAGAATAATTTTTAAATAGAACAGTGATCACGTCTACTAAGAAAAGCACATAGTTGAACAGCATTTGATATGCAGTATTTCAAGTCATCAAACTAATAATCTTGGACTGCAGCAGAAAGTAAGATTTTTGGTGAACAAAACTAAATTCAAGACTCTTATGCGCTTCACAAGACTTAAATAATAGCGCTCAATTTTATTTTATTTTTTTCAACTTGACAGCCGAGGTCACTAAAATATTGAATAAAATAACTGCTTGAAGACTCTTCCGAATTAGATTTTCTCTTTACGTTCCACAGAAAATCAAACACAGCAGTTTCTAAGAGTTTGTCCAGATTCACAAGCTCAGCTTTAAACTTTAATATTTAGTTAAAGTTTGAGACCTTCATTATTATTTAAAGTGAAATCATTTTTTCCTGCAGTTCTTCCCTTACGGTGACGCGTCAAAGTTTGCGCAGCATGCATTCAGGACCTTTGATAAGAATAGTGACGGTACTATCGACTTCAGAGAGTTCATCTGTGCCCTGTCCATCACGTCACGGGGAAGCTTCGAGCAGAAGCTCAACTGGGCCTTCAACATGTACGACCTGGATGGAGACGGCAAGATCACTCGAGTGGAGATGCTGGAGATTATAGAGGTACTGAAACCCGTTTATTTGCATGAAATGAATGCCAGTGGATAAATCTGTTTAAATAAGAACTTTCCACAAATAGGGTACAAAACGGAGCCTGAATGTCCAAAAAAAATTATTTTTATTATTTTAAAATTATTTTATCTGAGGTAGGGCTGTCGCGATAACCGCAATATCGCAATACCGCACTATTGACGAGCAAACCGCGATTATTGCGTGTTTTATTTTTTCATAGGGTTATGCCCTTCTCGTTTTACACTTCGTGCATGTGTACTGAATATTAAATAAGTTAGTAATGATAACATAATGTGTACCATGCTGATTTGTACTGAGGCTCTGTAGATTTGCACTTAACAAGCCTAAACAGACAACGAATGAGAGAGAGATCGACTGAGCATGTAAGATTACTTGCGAGTCATATATATTTGTGAAAATAAATCATGTCCAACGAAAGCCAAATCTCTGTCTTAGCATCGACGCATTGGTCAGCTGAGCCTTCTAACCTGGCGTTAGCTAAAGTTAAAATGATTTCAACAGCGTTTTTCATTTTGTCTCTCTTTGAATGAATCAGCATTTTTGAACGTGTAGTTGAATGAACGGTTTAAAGACTCACTCAAAGACAGTCCCTTTCCACCGCCTTGTGGTGCAACACTGTAACCGCGCTGACTGACAGCCCGTCTAGAACACGCGCAGGTGGAAATATCAATAGAAAGTCTCTTGTCCAGTCGGATTCGAGGATCAGAACAAACTATTATACATATAGGCTAACAATAGCCTAATGATCTTATTGTCAGGTTTATTTTCTGTTATGTGGATCGTTATTTTGTCATTCTCTTCTGTTTACTTCACTTCCTGTTTCAACGCTATTTGGTTTCAGTTTCATTGGTTTCTGAATATGACCTTGTTATATCGGAACACATACACACACAGATTATATACACATATATATATATATATATATATATATATATATGGCGATAATACAGCATACCGCGCTACTGAGCCATTCAAAATTACCGCAAGGGAAATTCCTTCACTGCGACAGCCCTAATCTGAGGTTTGTAATATCTGCAACCAGAATTTTGTCTATACGTCAAAACACTTTGAGATTTTGATATCTGAGCAATAAATAATGACATAAAATGAAAGAAATTAAAATAAAATAATAAAACAAATAAATAAGCATGAGTAAAAAGGTTGAAGATTCATCCCAAATTAGTGCTTTTACTTCTAAAAGACTGTAGAAAACTGCTTGTTTTAGGGGAAATCCAATATATAAATATAAAATAATAAACAAATAATATATACAATTAATAAAAACATGTCTGAATGAGTAACAAGGTTGGAGATTAATTAGATTTTTATTCTAAACTATTATGCCTTAATTCCAATAACTTGAAGTCAACAATTTGTATTAAAAGTGAATCCAATTTATATAAGCTCTGCAATTTTTACAACCAAAATTTAGGATGTCTGAACAAAACGTGATTTTGATATTTGAGCAATAAATATGAGATAATAAATAAATACAATAAATGAAAATAAATGTCAGAATGAGCAACAAGGTTGAAGATTTATTATTTTCAATAGATTGAAGAAAACTATTTATATGATCATATCTAATATTTCTCATAACACAATAAAATGCCTCCAATGCTTTGAAGATGATTTTCTTTGAAATTTTATATGAAGTTTGCCGTTTTTCAGCCAAAGATTAAATCGTCAGAACAGAGACCGTGAGATTTTGATATTTGAGAAATAAATAAATATAAAATAATGAATACAATTAATAAAAACATGTCAGAATGACAAACAAATTTGGAGTTTCATCCTTAATTACTATGTTTATTTCCAACAAATGTGAGAATTTATTAGATAATATCTAATAGTTCTCATAAAAGAAAAGGTTACTAATGTTTTAAAGATTTATTTTCTATTAATTTTATGTATTACTATTTAATTGTATTTATTTTAGGACACATCTGAACAGAGACACTGTAGATATTTAGATATTTGAGCAATAAATAAGATGTAATAAATACAATAAATTAAAATATCAGAATGAGCAACAAGCATGAAGATTCATCCTAAAAATAGTGCTTTTATTTTCAATAGATCGAGGAAAACTATTTATATGATCATAATATTAGTGGTGTCAAATGATTAATCGCGATTAATCACATCCAAAATAAAAGTTTTTGTTTGCATAATATATGTGTGTTCTGTGTATATTTATTATGTATATATAAATACACACAGTATATATTTTGAAAATATTTACATGTATTTATTTATATAATTTATATTATAAATAAATATATTTAATATATAAAAATAGCATATTTTTCTGAAATATATACATGCATGTGTGTGTATTTATATATACATAATAAATATACACAGTACACACACATATATTATGCAAACAAAAACTTTTATTTTGGATGCGATTAATCATTGGACAGCATTAGATCATATCGAATAGTTTTCATAACAAAATAAAATGCCTCCAATGCTTTGAAGATGATTTTCTTTAAAATTAAGTTTGCTGTTTTTGCAGCCAAAAATCAGTGCCCGTCAGAAACAGAGACCCTAAAATTTTGATATTTGAGAAAAACAGATACTTAATGTGAAATTAGTGTGTTTATTTCCAATTAATGTGAGAATTTATTTGATATCTAATAGTTCTCATAACAGAAAAGGTGACTGATGCTAATAAAGACTTATTTTCTATTCATTTTATTTATTGCTATTTTATTTTAGGATACTTCTGAACAGAGGCACTGCAATTTTGATATTTGAGCAATAAGTATGAAATAATAAATAAACACAATAATTAAAAACATGTCAGAATGAGTAGCAAGGTTGCAGATCCATCCTTATTTAGTTTCATACGGAATTGTTTAAAGGCCACTAGCAGCATTGAACAGAATTGCGATCTGTATATTTAAGTGACCCAATGGGCCTGGACGTAATTTGCTTGTTGATGCTAGTGGCACAGAATTCACACACTTCAACTTCATTTAAAATGAACATGTATCATATTTATAGAAAGTGCCAATGGCAAAACTGAAAGATAAAAAATAATAAATTTGAAGGACATTTCAGCGTGAATACTAGCAATCTCAGCGCCTCCTCGTGTCATTAAAGCAGAGTCTTTTCTCCTCTTTGTGCGAAGGCTATTTATAAAATGGTGGGCACGGTGATAATGATGAAGATGAACGAGGACGGTCTGACACCACAGCAGAGAGTGGATCGGATCTTCAGCAAGATGGATAAAAACAACGACGACCAGATCTCACTAGACGAGTTCAAAGAAGCCGCCAAGAGCGACCCGTCAATCGTACTGCTCTTGCAGTGCGACATGCAGAAGTGAGGCATGCTCCGGACTGAACGAGTTATCCGTTTCCACTCTCATTTCCACAAGAGTAACATGTTTGGACTACTTTTAAACGAACTTTCTTCTTGTGATCGAACAACTAGTATGCATGAGAACGTTAACTGCTAAAGCGTTTAGAGTATATCCGTTTAATTTCCAACATGCAACAATGTGAGACGTGTAAATCAAACGAGTCCAGTTGTTTTCACGCATCCATCGTCAGTGAAGTGCTCCGCCGTATTTCATTTCTAGCCGCAATACTTCTGATCACACGCACTACGTTGACTGCCGTACTTCACGCAGTCGTTTGGGAACCGAAGCGCGTCACACTACATGTTACGATGAAATCAGTCTGTCGAACTTCAATACTCGAAATTTAGGAGGGCGGAGAGGTTTGTGCAGCCCTCCTTCCAAACGTGCTTGTACTTGAGAATATAAATGTACGTTATTTGCATGCATGTCCTAAGTGTAAAAAGCTACTCTCTCTTCATTTCGGCAACCTTGACGAATAATACAAGGGAGGCCTTATATAAACGCTAGTATCAATAACAATGCTAATATGTGAGATTTACATTCGTTCCTCATCTATCCATTAGATGTCCTTCCTCGGGTGCATGCTTCCTCTTAAAGACGTACCATGTGTGTTGTAAAAGTTCTCTGTAAGGCACACGTTCCAGCCCCGCCTCCGTCATGATTTGCATCTGCCATTGGCTTCTGCTGGTTTCACCCTATTTTGCACTGACACGAGGACCTAATAACCAGTATAACCAGTCTAAAACAGACCTTTCTTTTTCTTAACGTCAAAAGACCACCGCTGACATCATTCTTATTGCGTTACGCTCTTGTTTTACTTTGCGCACATGCATGAATGGTTGCCTGTGAATTCGTTTTAGTAATAATACAGAAAGGGCAATATAACATTTTAAGCAAATTTTCCCTGGAGGGCATTTGGTAAAGGATCCGCTGCCCCTGGTTTTACGACAAAACCTTATCCTAAATGGGTTTGGTACACATTTACTCTTAGTGTGCTGCATTTTTATTCAACCGTTTTTTGTAAAACAGTATTTCTACTCCAGTACCCATGGTTTTTAGCTGCATCCCTCAGAAGCAACTTTTCAATTACCCTCGTTTTGTTATTCTCTACATTTTTTATCCTTCGTCTGTATGTTATGGTCTCCTGAGACTTTAAAAATATGGCATTCCAGATCTCCTACTTTCACATCTTGTGACATTCAGGATGTGTCAGTCCCTTTGGTGGAGAACAAGGCACATCTTTGTAAAATGCAACTGCCCGATAAATAGTGTATATGTTTGCCCTGTAAATATTTGTACCTACTACGGTAAAGCCAAATTGAAGCAGTCCTTTAATTGTGTAATAAGAGGTTTGTGTTTTATTTGTGGCATGTCTTCAACTCGGTATGTAATGGTTGCACTGACGACATTGTGATTAAAATCAATAAACTATCTATGGGTTGTTTTCAGAATGCAGGTGCTTGGTCGTGTGTGAGCACAAATCAGATGGTTAATGATATCTAAGAAGAGCATTGTGGTTTATTACAGAGGATGCTGCTTCAAACTGACAAATACCAATTCTGAACATACTGAAACCGCCATGAGCAGGTGCTAACGGTTGGAAACCGAAAGGAATATTTTACCCCAAAATGCAAAGTTACTCACCCTCAGGACATCCAAGATGTAGATGAGTTTGTTTCTTCATCAGAACAGATTTGGGGAAATGTAGTTTTGCATCACTCGCTCACCAATGGATCCACTGCAGTGAATGGGTGCCATCAGAATGAGAGTCCAAACAGCTGATAAAAGCATCACAATAATCCACAAGTAATCCACACTCCAGTCAATTAATATCTCAAAGAAAAAAGCTGTGTGTTTATAAGAAACAAATCCATCATTAGGGTGTTTTAAAGTGGTCATATGACGTTGCTAAAAAAGAACATTATTTTGTGTATTTGGTGTAATGAAATGTGTTTATGCGGTTTAAGGTTAAAAAAACACATTATTTTCCACATACTGTACATTATTACGGTTTCTCCTCTATGCCCCGCCTTTCTGAAACTCGTAAATTTTTACAAAGCTCATCAGTCTGAAAAGCGAGGTGTGCTCTGATTGGCCAGCTATCCAGTGTGTTGTGATTGGCCGAATACCTCAAGCGTGTGACGGAAATGTTACGCCCCTACCATATTGTGTTTCCATGTGTCCCGGCGCAACGAGACAAAACCAATAAAACCTATTATAAAGGAGGCATTTGTTGCATCCAGTGGGGGCATAATTCCGGATTATAATGACATACTATAAAAGAATACTGTCTTTTTACGCGTTGCGTTGCGCCGCGTAAACATAAAACCATGTCTGCATTTGTGATCGGAGAAACGACAAACAACAAGCCCTACTCTACACTGCTGAAAACTCACGTTTGAATCATCAGTGGCAAATTCTTTAGATATGAAAACGTACTTACAGTCTGTGAGTCAGAACAGCCGGCATTGTAGTCTACAATACTACAGCGAGAATCAAAGTTACGCCTTCTTTCTTTGCGTGAACATTTGGGCGGTGTTATGCAAATCTTCCCACACAGTGATGTAGATATGTGGGGGCGTGTTTAAACGAGGCGTTTTAGGAGGGCGTGGACAAGTCTTAACTTTGATAAAGAATATCTCTTTGGTTTGAGACTTTAGTCTTAGCAACTTTAGGGATCTTATCTATGCATGAACAGCTTGTAACACTCCAAAGAGAAAGGAAAACTTGAAATCGCATCATATGACCCCTTTAAGTTCAAACTGTCACTTCTGTTCAAAATACGAGTCCATAATCCATAATAACGCTTCCTTCAGTGAGAAAGTCCATCTCCTGTTGTCCTCTCATGTCAAAATCCACCAACATATTTGTTTAGAACTGTTTTGGACTGTTTTCATTTGTAAACTGTGCTTGATCTGTGTATATTTCTCTCCTGATTCAGACTTTTTCACTAACGAAATCAATATTACAGTATGTACAGAGGACTCATATTTTAGCTGAAGCTAAGTTTGAAGTAAAAAATGTCTTAATGTGTTTGTTTCCCACAAACACACAACTTCTCACTTTGCAATTGTTAATTGATGTTACTGGAGTTGTGTGGATTACTGACGGCACCCATTCACTGCAGAGGATCCATTGGTGAGCAAGTGATGTGATACAAAATTTCTCCAAATCTGCTCTGATGACGAAACAAACTCGTCTACTTATTGAATGGCCTGAAACATTTCCAGCAAATTTTCATTTTTGGGTGAACTATTCCTTGAGCCTCCTTTTGTTTTTCTTAAAAGACCACATGAACTTGATGAAATGATGTGGACTTCACAATAACAACAAAAACAAATTAGGCGCACGCTTTGTGCTTTTGAAACATCCTTTGCAGAGGAACTAGAACCATAAAACTTCTTTAAAAATAAATAAAAGCAAATGCATAATAAACTGTACAGACATATAAACTTTACACACTTTCAGTACAGTCTCTCCAGGCAATGTCCGTACCTAACACACATCTCCCTCCTCCTCCGCTTCTCTCTCTGGATCCTGAAGCTGGTGGATCGTAATATGCGAACTATTAGGCAGATGGCTGAAAGATAATGCAAAGAAACATCAACGTATATATCCAAAAACACTAACTCTATAATTCAGTGCTGTGCAAAGAGACTGTGTTTTGGATCTCTAATCGACTTAACACCTTAACAAACAAGACCCTGGGTAGAAATCGACACTTCAAAGAAAATGTTCTCATTACGGGACTAATACGCTTTTACTTGGTTTACAATTATGCATTTGATTAACTAATGTCTGCAAACTAAATAACTAAGCACTAGTTCAGCAAGTCATTAAGAAACCTGCTTTGGGGAGTGTGGTCTACAAACCGTTTGCATTTCCTTCCTGAATAAATGTGATTGTGAGGACAGGAGAAGCTGATCATAAATGAATGCTGTTACTCTGAGTAACATCTGGTATCTCACACAAAACCTTTCAAGAGTTTGGTCATATTTCAGCACAAAATTATAAGTATACATAATGATAAATTTTGTTTTACTGAATGTATGCAGATTTGCATAACAAAATAAGAAAGGAAATTTACAACAAGCGTCCAGATTACAGTAATGAAAATCTGAGGAAAAATGTCTAATTATCACAATGCAAACACGGTAATGGTTCTAAAACGGGCATCATACATTAAAGCCTAGTGAAGACATTTCTCATTTTTAAACACCTATGATTTGTACTTGTCTTAAATTGTCTTTAATGTATTTAAATTCCTTTAAAAAAATGTCAGAAAATGTATTTATGATGTTTTTAATTTGAAACAAAAATTAGAACGCTGCGGGTGGAGATGACTTTCATTTACAAAAAATGTTAACTTTATAATTTTTGTTTTGCTTTTGGTGTGAAATATCCCATAGTAAAAAACAAAAAAAATTATGCCATAATTTAAAATACGTTTATTTCAAACTAAGTATACTTCAAATCGACATTCAAATTGACATATTACTTGAGACTCACTGAAATAAAATGACACTTTATTTGGAGTATTTCTTTTTTGCACAATGCACATTTCTTAATATTTTGCCTAAAATGTGTTTTAATATCACCATTAATGATTGTATGATCTCTGTATAATATCAGTCTTTACATGCAAGATATTTCAAGTATACTTGCAATAGTTCCACTTTAGCAAAATCAAATATACTTAAGCATATCTTTAGTTGGTCCTCAGCACTATTTCTGAACAATTAAAGTGCATTAAGTCCAAAATGAGTTGTTCACATTTAGCATACTTTAAGTATACCAAATGTAGAATTGCAGGGTATGTAAATATACATTTTAGCCCCCCCCCCCCTCCCACTAGGGTCAATCAGACATGTTTCAGTGAGTTTCACCATAAAACATGTAAAAACTTTTATTTTTCTACCTGGTGGACTGAGGGGTGATGAAGATGAACTGTCGCTGATGTTGATCTTCTGAAAGTGCCACAAGCATGTTCATTGAAATGTTCCGATTATGCATGTCCTTAAAAAGACAAAAGAGCTTATTAAACACATGAAATACTTTATATGTAAAATACTAATGTTTGACATGTCAAATGTCCTCAATAAAGTCATCACATAGGCAAGAGTACATACCATGTAGACATCAAACTCGTCCAGGCACCGGAAGGGCGACTCGGTAATCTCCCAGAGTGCCAGAATGAAGCAGACAGTGGAGAAGGAGCGCTCGCCTCCCGAGAGGGAACGCATGTCATTGACGTTGTTTTCTTCCTGACCGAGGGGTTTCACCTGAGCCGAAACAAGTAACATACATCACAAAAGAACCCAGGATGTTGTGAAAGTGACGCATGTGGCTGAGTATGGTGACCCATACTCGGAATTAGTGCTCTGCAATTATCCCATCTAAAGTGCACACACACACAGCAGTGAACACACACACAACAGTGGGCAGCCAATTTTTTGCTGCGCTGCCCGGGGAGCAGTTGGGGGTTCGGTGCCTTGCTCAAGGGCACATCAGTCGTGGTATTGAAGGTGGGAGAGAGCGCTGTACATTCACTCCCCCCACCTACAATCCCTGCCGGTACGAGACTCAAACCCACAACTTTCGGGTTATGAGTCCCGACTCACTAACCATTAGGTCACGACTTACCCTTATTTATAATAAGGGGAAGTTTTTACTCACACTATAATTGTGTACTCACTTAACACTAGGTATACATCAGAATCCTGAAAATATAACTCAGCATATTAGAATGATTTCTGAAGGATCCTGTGACACTGAAAACTAGAGTAATGGTAATGAAACTTCAGCTTTGCATCACAGGAATAAATAACATCTTAAAGTATATTCAACTAAAAAAACTGTTATTTTAATTGTAATAATATTTCACAATATTACTAATTTAACTGTGTTTATGATCAAATAAATGCAGCCTTGATCAAAACATTTTCAAGATATTATATGACCCAAGAGATATTTTCATCGGATTCATCCCATTAATTGATTCAGTCAAACATTTGAGCAAACTGAAGTCAGAATATAACTTGCTGCCAAACGTAACTTACAGAAATGGACAGAGTTTCATTGTTGTGATCAAACATTATAGAGCCACAGCATTTCAGCTCCATCATGTAATTGATGAAGTACAGCTTGCATCTCACAGAAAGTGACCTGAAAACACAATTCCTTTGTTCAAACTTAAAGAACAGGAGTGGCAATCTTTTAAATAGAAACATCCAACTGTGATTAACGGTGTTATACTAAGTTACCGTCGCATTGATTTGTATCGGTCCTGACGGTCAATCATGATGTGGTCGAGGCGATCAATAAACTTCCTGAGATCCCTCAGCTGACTGGATTTGCTTTTGTAATTACTGTGAGCCTCTGCGTACTCTCTGGAAAAATACATTCTTCAGTGGTTTATTTCAGTTCTATGTCAAAAACAAAATACAGGCTTCGCATATATGCTTTTTAATTCTCCAACATGCTACTTCCCAAACTGAGCTATGAGTCAAAATTAGTGAAAAAAATTTAATTAAATTAATGAATGAAATATAATTTAGAAAATATCACATGAAATGAGCTATCAGTCAATAATATAAAATAACAACTGCGCTAGGTCTAAACTACTTCTTAAAAATTAAATAAAATTAAATAAAATGAAAAAAGCTGTGCATACCTGATAACTTGTTCCTTGTCGCCATGGCTGCTCTCTTCTGTACTGATTTTTTGTCGCAGGCGTGTGATTTCGGCATCAATACTTTTGGCACTCTGACCTACCTGCTGTCGCACAGGACAGATCTCTTTGGCTTTGGCTTCACAATCCTACAAAGCAAGCCATTTACAAACAATGAGCAAGTCCAATATTTCACCATACTGCTCTTTGGATGAAAACAATATGCATATTTTCTTATGATAAGGAATTGTATATATTACAATATATGATATGAAAAGCGTAAAGGAGTGATTACCTGTGTTTCTTCCTCTCTGAGAGACAGATCATCTTTCATGGCCTGAACAGTAGCCTGATGATCCTCAAGTTTCTTCTCCAAGATCTTCAAGGTTTGATCAAGTTTACTGCACACAGCCTCTGCCTTAACGTGCTCCTCCTATTCAAGACAAATCCATCTTTCAATAAACACTATATATGTGTGTGTGCATTTTTTATGTTTTTTAAAGAAGTCTTTTCTGCTCACCAAGCTGAAATTTATTTGATCCAAGGTACAACAAAAACAGTAACATTTTGAAATATTTTTACAATTTAAAATAACAGTTTTCTATCTGAATATATTTTCAAATGTAATTTATTTCTGTGATTTCAAAGCTGAATTTTTAGCATCAATTCTCCAGTCACATGATCCTTCAGAAATCATTCTAATATTCTTTGGTGGTTAAAAATTATTTATTGTTATTATCATCATGTTGAAAAGAGCGGAGTAGAATTTTTTCAGATTTCTTTGATAAACAGAAAGTTCAGAACAGCATTTATCTGAAACAGAAATCTTTTGTAACATTATAAATGTATTTATCATTACCTTATTTTATTTTTATTTATAAAATTTATACTTATACTTTATACTTTTATTTATAAAAAAAAGTACTAATTTCTATCCCCCCCCCCCCAAAAAAAAAACAAATACTGATTTATAACGGTTGTAAATATTGATAATAATAATAATAATAATAAATGTTTCTTGAACAGCAAATCAGCATATCAGAATGATTTCTGAAGGATCTTGTGACACTGAAGACTGGAGGAATGATGCTGGAAATTCAGCTGCGCATCACAGAAATAAATTACATCTCAAAATGTATCCAAATAGAAAGCGGTTATTATAAATAGTAAAAAATATTTCACAATACTACTGTTTTTGCTGTATTTCGGATCAAATAAATACAGGGTTGGTGAGCAAAAAAAAAAAAAAAAAAAGATGCAAAGAATTGGGCTCCACAAGGGTTTGCATGAATTATCATCACTGTGCCATGAGTAAAATCTTTTAACTTTAACTTGCTCCAGGTACAATCAGAGACAAATTGCTTGATGAAAGAATATTATTCAGTATTTGTGAAGATTACACTTGCCGTATTTCTGCCTCTGGGTCTCCACCAAGATATTGGGCCAGTACTTCACGTTCAGTTGTGTAATAGCGATTGGTGTAGACCTGATCACCATCTGCAGTGAAGGCCTCACGACAATTCTTTGGGGGTCTCGACCCCTGCATGACCTTCCTCGCACGAGCGTTCTCCTGTTTTAAAACAAAAACAATATAAAATTAAAACATTTTAAATATTGAAATAATATCAAAAAATTCAATATCTACACTACCGCTCAAAAGTTTGGGATCAGTAAGACTTGTAATGTTGGATTCTTTGATGAATAAAAAGTTAAAAAGAAGAGCATTTATTTAAAATAGAAATCTTTTCTAACAATGTACACTACAGTTCAAAAGTTTGGGGTCGGTACATTTTTATTCTTTCTTTTTTTGAAAGAAATTAAAACTTTTATTCAGCAAGGTGTTAGCAAAGATTTATATTTTGAATAAATGCTGTTCTTTTTTTACTTTTTATTCATCAAAGAATCCTGAAAAAAGTATCGCAGTTTCCCCAAAAAAATATTTGGCAGCAGAACTGTTGCCAACATTGATCATTCTAATAATAAATCAGCATATTAGGTTGAATTCTGAAGGATCATGTGACACTTTATACTGGAGTAATGGCTGATGGAAATTCAGCTTTGCATCACAGAAATAAATTATACTTATTATTATACTTATACTAATTATACTTTAAAGGACATTAAAATAGAATCCATTATTTTATATTGTAATAACATTTTGCAAGATTACAGTTTTTTTCTGTATTTTCGATCAAATAAATGCAGCCTTGATGAGCATAAGAGACTTCTTTAAAAACATTACAAGTCTTACTAATCCCAAACTTTTGAGTGTAGTGTAGATAGATTGTGAAATAGTATTACAGTATAAATAATTGTTTTCTCTTTTTATATATACTTTAACATAAACTATAATTTATTATTATCAATACTCCAGTCTTCAGCGTCACATGAAAGCATTCTCCTATGCTGATTTATTATTCATACTGGAAAAGGCTGTGCCATTTAATTTTTGGGGGAAACTGTGATACTTTTTTTCAGGATTCTTTGATGAATAAAGAGTTAAAAAAGAAAGCCTTTGTAATAGTATAAGTCTTTACGATCACTTTTTTTTAATCAGTTTAACATATCCTTGTAGAATAAAATAATTAATTACTTAAATTAAATAAAATAATTGTAATACAATTATAATAATAAATACATTGAATAAAAATTAATAAAATAAAAACATACGGACCCGAAACGTTTTAACGGTAGTGTTTATTGTTACAAAAACCTTTCTATTTTGAACAAATGCTGTTCTTTTTCACTTTTTAACCATCAAAGAATCATGAAAAAGTATCATCGGTTCTAAAAACAAATATTAAGCCTCCAGACAAATATTACGTTTCCAACACTGATAATAAATCATTAGAATGATTTCTGAAGGATCATGTGACACTGAAGACTGGAGAAATGGCTGAAGAAAATTCAGCTTCGCATAACAGGAATAAATTATAATTGAAAGTATATTAAAATAGAAAAGACATTTTATTTTTCTTTGTAATAATATTTCACAATATTACTGTTTATACTGTATTTTTTAATAAATAAATGCAGTCTTGGAAACTTCTTTAAAAAAACAGATTTACTATCAGCTTGCACCAGCGCAAACTCTCATTTGGTGTTAAAAAACTACTGTCGGGATTTACTAAAGCTACGTAGTGGGAAATTAGCGCTTAATTAGAGTTATTTTTGCGACTCACCTTATTGAATATGCATTTGTATGAGTTTCCCTTTTGATTGGTAAATTTATGGGAGGAGAGTATTTAAATGAATCACGCAATGCGATTTAGTAAGATTTGCACTCGTCAATTCACTGGTATTGCTTTTATTGAATTGCACTCTAACGCTAACTCGCCCTGTTTAGTAAATCTGGCCCTAAAAATTTTTGCACATATAAACTATAATGAAAAAACATATATATTTACACAATTCTTAATCAGCTGAATGCAAATGAGGTCTTTTATTTAGACGTTTGCACTCCACTCGCTGTGTTATACATTATTATAAATGCTTTTACTTATTACTATTACTTAACAACTTACTTTGATAATCAGAATGCTCTCAATGCTCCTCATGTCAATGAGACAGTTTGTTATCACTGGGTTCTCGATATTGAGGCAGTCCAGCACAGACAGAAACTCAGGATGCTGGACTCCACTGACAAGAACACATAGAAACATCATGTTTACTGTACCCTCATAAGACCTCTGACTCCATTTCTGGATACAAATATTTCTTACCGGCCTTGCAGGTTATAAACTCTGTCCGTGAATAGACAGACGATTATCTGAGGCCTGTTGCTTCTGGGGAAGTATGAGGACATCAGTCCTTGCAGGACTTTTTCGTCCCTGTAATTATCACAGCAAAAGCTTTTAATTAAACCTCGTAAGCAACTCTCCACAGCCACGGCTAAACTGGGATCCTTTAGGCTGATGCATGCACCTGGTGATAATTAAAAAAATTATGAGTAATTCTTTGCAAGACTGAGTGAATAATCTGAAGATACTGAGGGACTCTCACCTATTGGTCCCACAGGTTTCTTGATGAATCGGCCCTGAGAGAAGGCTTTGTTGATGGACTCCAACAACTCTGGCATGTGATTGCCAAAGCGTCTCAGTCTGTTGGATCTGCTGGCCATTAGCTGCTTTTTTCTCTTCAGTTTAGACTCCAGAGAGACCTGGATGTTCTTTTCCTCCATGCTAAAAAATGAATAAAAACTCTAAAACTGTAATCTATCAAAATAAAGATCACGTACAGATGGTTCTACGGTATATTTCAAGTCTACCCGGTCTCATGGCAAAAACGTACCTGGGGGCACTTTTTCGCGAGATGTGAAATACGTACCAATAAGCACATATCACTGCAGTTTCCAAAAGAAATGAACACTAGAGGCAGTAAAACTCCGACACCTTTTAAATCATTTTCACACAAATTATGATTTACAGAGTTTCGATTAATAAAGCGTAATTTTCGCACAATTACTCATTAACAATTGGTTTTGCAACTGTTTTCATAATGCAAAATATTCTTTACAAAGGAAAAATCATGACAAAAAATTAGTGCTGTCAAACAATTAATCCCGATTAATCGCATCCAAAATAAACATTTTTGTTTACATAATATATGTGTGTGTGGTGTATATTTATTATGCATATATAAATACAAACACATGCATGTATATATTTAAGAAAAATATGTTATGTTTATATATTATATATATAAAATAAAATATATAAATGCATATGCATGCAAATATTTTCAAAATACATACTGTATGTGTGTGTATTTATATATACATAATAAATAAGCACAGTACACATACATATATTATGTAAACAAAAACTTTTATTTTGGATGCGATTAATCGCGATTAATCGTTTGACAGCATTGCAAAAAATAAGTGGATTTTTTCATTTTAGGTCAATTTCAAGTCAAAGCCGTGCCACACGACATATTAAAGCCATCGTGTTTATGGCAAAGCATGTTTGAATACACCTTGTGTCCCTCCACTTTCCTGTCTTCCGCTTCACTGTCCAGTCAATTGCCATAAGAAATAAAGTTGCCAGACTTTACCTCAGTTTATCATATTCCTCTCTTCCTTTAAACAGAGCTTGTTGTTTGTCCTTTATCTCTTGATTAAGAGTGCTGGACTCTTCCTCAAGCTTTTCCAGCTGCTTTTTGAAGGCAGATATTTTTTGTTGATGCTGTGCTTGCTCAGTCTCATGGCTTCTTCTGCCACTGCTAAAACGTCATCAAATTACTCAGTTACTTTAATGACATCTTCAACTCAAAGTCAAACACACAGCATGATGTTAAACAATTTATCAACATGAACAGCCTAAAATTAGAGGTGTTCCCTCAACAAATGGACTCACCCATGACTTATTTTGTCAATTCGCTCCTGAAGAAGGCATTGCTCCTTTTCTAATTGTTTCAATTTATTCTCAGCGCTGAAGTAAACCACCTAAAAAAAAACTGGCATTCTAAAAATCTAAACAAACTCTTTAGAAATCAAGAAGAACCCTCTTTATAAAAATCTGCTAACTTAAAGCAGTAGCTCACTCAGAAATTAAAACCATGTAATCATTTTCTCTCCATCAGGTCTTTTTAAAACCCATATGTGACCTTGGACCACAAAACCAGTCATAAGGGTCAATTTTTTTAAATTTAGATTTATACATCATCTGAAAGCTGAATAAATAAGCTTTCCATTGATGTATGGTTTGATAGGATCGGACAATATTGGGTTGAGATACAACTATTTGAAAATCTGGAATCTGAGGGTGCACAAAAATCAAAATACTGAGAAAATCGCCTTTAAAGTTGTCCAAATGAAGTTCTTAGCAATGCATATTACTAATCAAAAATTAAGTTTTGATATAGTTAAGGTAAGGAAATTTACAAAATATCTCCATGGAACATGATCTTTACTTAATATCCTAATGATTTTTGGCATAAAAGAAAATGAATATCCTAATGATTTTTGACCCATACAATGAATTTTTGGCTATTGCTACAAATATAACTCAGCGACTTAAGACCGGGTTTGTGGTCCAGGGTCACATATGATTTTCTTCCTTCCATGCAACACAAAATTAGATGGTTCACACTGCTCTTTTCCATTCAAAGATAGCAAATGACTGGAGCTGACAAACAATCTGCATACAATTTGTAAGCTACATTTGAAGTCTTTTGTCATTATTTAGGTTATCAATCCCTGAAAAGTTAAATCGTCCTCTTTTATGCAGATTTTTTGTCCTTTGCTGGAGCTTGACAACCTCTGGTCACTTAATGCCTTCACTGCTTGGGAAAGAGGAGCACAAACGCTCTTCAAAATGTCTCTTTTTGTATTCCACAGAAGAACGAATTTTGGGTGACATACTCCTTTAATAATAAAAGCACTACAAACAGGCAAATGTTGCTCACATGTAAATGTTAAATGTTTATCCTAACTGTAGAGAGATGAATGTCTTCATTTAAAACGAATGCAGCTATTACATAGCTTGAGATATTAAAGTGCCCCTATTATGTATTTTTGAAAATGTACCTTTCATGCAGTGTAACACAGCTCTAAGTGAATGAAAACATCCTGCAAATTTTTTAATCTGAAAGTGCACCGTGTATAAAGTTATTGTCTCTCAAAAGAGTCGATTCTGAATCATTGAAACGAGTCGTTTTTAAAACGAATCACAAGCTGTTTCATGTTTGACGTCAACATGAAACATTAGCATATTGCCCGCCCACTTGTTGGTCTTTTCGCTCATTCTTTGCCACTAGGTGCCGCTTTTGGAGCGGTAGAAATAGCGGTTTACCCGGGAAACGCTGTACACAAAGCAGCACTGCGCTCACAAACACTGCTTTATCAGGCATTACAGGCGAGATGAAATGAAAATGAGACCAATCAGACCAATCACCACAGATTAGCGTCACGCAAAGGAGGGGTTTGGAAAAATGAATCGTTGAGCGATTCGTTTGGGAGTCATTGAGCAAGTAAGGAAAAAATAAATGCATATTATAAGACAATCAAAGTGTTTTTTGACCTTGCATGCATGTCGACCTGCACTGTAAAATCCAATAGTTTACCTTACTTATATTTAGTTAGTTATCTTTACTTAGTTGTTATACTTACTAGGTTTTATTAAGTTACAGCTACTTTCAATGCAAATAAAACAATTTACTTACTGTTTTGAGTGACACTTACTTAAAATATTCAAGTAGCCACAAAGGAACCAATGACATTAATAAAGCAATGAGAGGCAGCAGTGCACTAATATGTTGCTAATGTGCAACATAACAACAGCAGAAGAAGAAAAGAAAACGAGTCTTAATAGACTTTTCACTCATTTCCTCCATGTCTGCAATTATCTTTCACTAGTTGCATTCACTTGTTTCCCAAAGTCATCTTGAATGTTGAATTCTCAATACAACTGAAATATTTGAAAGAACATCACATAAGCTAACTTCATAAATTGATGTTGATTTTCCTAAAATGTGTTTTTTTTCCCATTATAGTGATTAGCACTCCCTTTGGTTGGGCACTTTGAAGTTGGTTTACGTTACTATAATTATCTTCCTGTTAATGTAGTAATGCATTATGAAGTCAGAGTTATTTGATTTCAAAGGAAGAAAAGTAATAAATAGGTTGCTTTTAGGAAGTGACCTATCTTCTAGTTAAAGGACTAGTGCATTAATTGTGTGTGTTCATTAATAAACTTTATCAAATTTATTTTTTCATAAAGACCCTGAGATGCTTTTCTTTGGGTTTATATAATTCTTAAATTCGTGTGTGGTAACATTCTGAAGTCACACACAGACTTAAACATTCAGCACGTGAACCACAACAATGGTAACAATTCAATTTATTTTCATTGCTTGTAACAATAGCCATTATATTTGCTCTTTTTGTTGTGCTGCTACTGACACAAGACAGCAAATAAAATTGTCAAATAAAATCAACAACTATAAAACAAAGCAACTGTATAATTTATTCATACCGCAATGCACTCTGGGAGTCAGTGAGTAGCTATACTAAGTCATGAGTAAACCTAAATGAAAGGATCAAGTACCCCCTACAGTTCTTTTTTAGTTACTAGAACTCTCGTGTAAGTAAGCTTTACTAACCAAGCATCTGTCAGTACAACATACTATTGCTATTTCACTTTACTTAGTTTTTTCAAGGCAATCGGTTTGCATGCTTTTTTTAAGTAAGCCCAACTAATTAGATTTTACAGTGTGTTGTTGAGGACTCCCAAAGCCAAAATATGAACCTTTCATAACCCATAATAGGGGCACTTTAAAGTACATGTGTGAGCAGATGTCTTCAAAAACTCTGACTTCAGTAATAGTAACTAACAGAAAGAGAAAACAAAGAAATCTCACCTCCTGATTTTTCTGTGCTTTCGGTTTGACTTTAATTTCTTCCTTCATTTTACGGCTCTCCTCTGCCAAATGCTCCTGCTCTTCTCTAAGAGAGCAAAGCTTCTTCTGAATGTCCTGCAATCTCTTTTCAGCAGCGGTAACTTTGCTCTTAAAAGCAAAGAATTTTTACAGTCAAATGCCTACTAATGTTACATCTGGACAATACACACTTCACCTAATGAACTGCTACTGAAAACGATATATATGACACTATCAGTTGTGCTATTCTGTGAAAAACGTCCCTTTTTTCACTGCCGCTCAAAAGTATATAATAATTATGATTTATAGTGTTTTTGAAAGATGTCTGCTTGTCCAAATCAGCATATTAAAATGATTTCTGAACGATCATGTGACACTGAAGACTGGAGTAATGATGCTGAAAATTCAGCTTTGCATCACAGGAATATATTTAATTTAAAAATATATTCAAAGAGAAACAAAAAAAAAAAATTCTGTATTTTTGATCAAATAAATGCAGCTTTGCTCAAAAACACAAAAACAGTTTTAATATACCATAATAAAAACATAGTTCTGCCAGTAAAAGTCCAGATCAATACAGTTGATCACACAGACCTGACAGAGCTGCAGCTTTTCTTCATGTTTATGATCAGACACTTCTTTTTCAGTTTGTTCCATCAGTTGTTCAACAAGCCTCTCCTTCTCTCTCACCTACAACCAACAAACAGAGACACTGCTGAACAAAGACTCTCTAACGCAAGCGACTTTTCACACTTCTGCAAGAAGCACTAAAATAACGTACCAAACACCATGCCATCTTCTTTTTCAGGTCCTCTAGATTCTGTCTCATATTGTCAAGCGACGACAAGCGTTCATATCTTTCTTTCTTTTGCAAAAACAACTGCCTGAGATCTTTAAGACACTAAAAGTATAAAGATATGACCAATGTGTGGTTAGTGTTGACTGCCTGTGTAAAACAGGCATTATGAGGGGTTAAGTAAGAGAAACACTAATAAAGATGCTTGACTATGAATTCACAAATCACCTCCTCTTGTCTTTCCACCTGTTCGCGCGTCAAGGCTTTAGTCTGCTTGATGTGAATGTAGTCTCTCTTCATTTGCTCCAGAAGAGTTGCTTTCATGAAAAACTTTAGGAAAAAAATATATATATGAAAAGTGTGAAAACAGTTAGCCATACAACACCGCTTCAGTTATTGATGGCATATATGAAAAATAAATCACCTTGTACTTGTCTGCTTCACTTTTTGAATGCAGGAACTGTTTGCTCATTTCTTGATTGATTATTGAAACAGGATTGTCAACCTGTAATATGAAATTAATCCAGAATCAGAAATAAATCGATTACAAGTTTGTGTAGTTTACTTTATACAACATGAATATTAAAACAACTAGATTTTTTACTTGGATTTTAAAATAATTACTTATCAATAACTAAAAGATTGCACTTAAAAGCATGCAAGTCATATGAGCTGATATCTTTACTTCTACTTTTTGTCCCCCACCAAAAGTACCTGGATGCCGAAATGGTCCAGTATAGCAGTTAACTCTTCTTTCTTTGTGGAAATGACATGACCTAAAAATAGAGGATCTAAATATATATGAGGAAGTCCTGTTTCTGATATTACCTGTGATCTGAGAGGAAGTCATGATATTACCAGTTTTATTCTTGATTTTACAAGTCCTGCTACCGTCACTTGTGATCCGATGCTCAATGCAGATGCTGTCTCCATAAATGTCACCTTTATAGGGGTCATTTCCTCTGTTTTTTAATTTCACTTTAATGTCTGCAAAACTGTAAACAAAAGGATCAAGAGTGCTTACAAAAAAATCTTATCTTATGAAGATTCTGCATTTTGTATTCTAAAATATACTAACCTCTCTTCATATTTCACAAAGCCCTTCAAAGATGTTGCTCTGTTGGTTATGGTTGCTTTTCCACCAAGACCCACTATAAGAGCTGTCAGAATGGCACTTTTCCCAGCTTAGATTGGCATAAAAAAGTGCATACAGTACATTGAGAAAAGACCGTTTTTGAGTAATGACCCACATTGTTAATACTTTCATGTTTTTATGCCTGTAGTTCTCAACTAGGGCTGCAGTGCCCACTACTAAAAATCACCTTACAGTGATTTAAATTGAGTTATAATCAAAATTAAAATGCTACAAAATAAAGAAGTTCACCATTAAACTGACATCATATTTTTTGTTTATTCAATAGTTTTGTTTTTATTAAACTGAAGTACCAGAGGTGTGTATCAGCTGAGATAGGAGGGCTTTTGAAATCAAAAATGAAAGATTCGGTCAGAGGTTTGGACACACTGACCCATTATTTACTGTAAGTATTTTGCACATTTTAGAATGCATAGCATAGTGTTCTGTTCACTTTTCCATTAGAATCCACCCAAACAACAGCCATTTTTGTGTTGGGGTCAATTTGGCATACACTCAATTTTCAAACTGCTTGAACTACTGGTTAAACTATTTATTTATTTATGAAATGTTGTGAATATTGTTTTGGAATTTATACAGGAATGGCTGTATAAATTCCCAAACTGACCCTAATATGACTGTAAAACTTCAGACCACCAGTGCTTATTTATGCTGCATAAACATGTCCATAAACTTCCTTTGTAGAATATTCTGATCGCAAATAACCACATTAACCGTCTAAATGTCATTTTAGTACTTCACAGTCACAAGTGGATTTCCTACAAAAGTGTAAATAGTTTTTCTATAAGGATTATACATTTTTTATTTGTAACTGTCCATGACAGTTGTGGCTAATGAGACGTTACCACAGTTTTACAGTAAGTTACCCTTACCAAAAAGTACCCATACTTCAAGTTTATTTTAGTAAGTATACTTAAGTAAAGTTCAAGTATATTTTAAGTATACTTTATGTAGCAAGTATACAAATATCAGCTTACTAGTAGTATACTTGTAAGTGTACTATTTCAATACTCCTTGGGACTATAATATGACTGTAAAACTTCAGACCACCAGTGCTTATTTATGCTGCATAAACATGTCCATAAACTTCCTTTGTAGAATATTCTGATCGCAAATAACCACATTAACCGTCTAAATTTCATTTTAGTACTTCACAGTCACAAGTGGATTTCCTACAAAAGTGTAAATAGTTTTTCTATAATGATTATAAATTTTTTATTTGTAACTGTCCATGACAGTTGTGGCTAATGAGACGTTACCACAGTTTTACAGTAAGTTACCCTTACCAAAAAGTAGTATACTTCAAGTTTATTTTAGTAAGTATACTTAAGTAAAGTTCAAGTATATTTTAAGTATACTTTATGTAGCAAGTATACAAATATCAGCTTACTAGTAGTATACTTGTAAGTGTACTATTTCAATACTCCTTGGGACTAAATTGGCCCACTTTCTAGTATATAAAAGTATACTTTTAAGTATACTTTAAGTATAACAGTAGTAAACTTTGAGTACACAACTAGTTTACATCAAAATGTTTAGTTTGTACTGCAACTATACTAAAAGTGAACTTATAGGTATACTTTAATTATATACTTGTAGTAGCATTTTTAGTACACTTTGAAGTATAGTCTCAGTAAACTACTAGTTTAGTCGTTTTATACTGCAAGTATACTCGTAAGTTTTCTTTAAGTGAACTTTACATCATACTTTAAGTATACTACTATGTTCCTATTTAGGTATTAATTTGTATATATTTTGTTACATGAATATCTGAACATACAAAACATCAAAAGACCAGGGTATCTGCTTGTAAACAAAAACATTTTATTCTAGCTTCATGCATTCTTTTTTTAAACACTTGAATGTGGATAAGTTTCATAAATAAAAAATAAAGAAATAAACAACATTTTGAACAAAAAGCTGAAAAAAGACTATGAATTGGATTCAGAATGATAATCAAAACATAGATAAAGTCGAAAAAGCTTGACAGTTATTATTACCTCTTCATTGGTCGACATTATAATGTTACACAGTTTTGATGCTGTTTTATGTCTGATGATCGTGTTAGAATACATGTGGAGGTATCTGTTGTTTCGGTTTCTTCTTCACTTGTGTTTTTTGGAAATTCTGTACAGAAGATGTGTAATAGCGCCCTTACAGTATAACAATGAAAACACGGATTCTAGGAACACAAGTATAGCTCAAATATATTTAGACTTTTTCTAAGTATAAGTCAAGTATACTTAAATGTCATTTCAAGTATATTTCTGAGAAGTACATAAAGCCCATTTCTGAGAAGTACATAAAAAGTAGACTAAAAATATACTTTCCTATTTTTAGTTTAAAAGAAGTAGGCCTATACTAATAGCACACTTGAATAAACTTCTTTTTCGTAAGGGTAGTAACTTGTGTTGTTGCGGAAAAGACAGTTACAAAACTTTTGTATAGGTATATTTTAATTAGTTAATTGTAAACCATATTTTTAACAAAAAATAACGTTTTTAAACAAGATCATACCTATTATAATGTACCGTTTAAAAGACAACTTGAGCAGGGCAACTGGGGCAAGTTCAAGCTCAAACCGGTGTGCACCGTTTTGCTGCGGTTTCCGGTTTGAGCGACATGTTTCCTGGAAATGGTGTGCAATGGGGTGTGAGATGCGTTTTCTCTTGTTTGGTGGGTGTGTCAAACATGTCAGCTCAATCAGCAGCAACATGTATATAAACCACGCAGTATTAAAGAGACAGCTCACACAATGTAATTAACATCCAAATAAATTCACAAGAGCAAGTATATTGTTTGCACATGTTTATTTACATTAAAGGCAAAATAACTAAAATAATAAGAGCACAAGTATAGATCTGGAACTTCTTTAAGTCTGTCTAAATGTCATTTAGTAATTGCAATATCTGCGTCATCAGAACAGGGTGTTCAACGCACCACCGTTTCCGTTTAAAAAACGTTTTGCACCATTTTTGTCGGGGCTGAACGCAGCCCTGATTGATTCGTTAAAACATCCGGTGGCGTTTGTGTTTAGTTGACTTTATACTTTGTTTTTTGGGGGTGTGGTTTGATTCACGACTAACATGGAGATCACACATTAAACAAGTAGAGGATAAATGTAAAAAAGTATTAAACATTATGAGGATGCTATAATGAAAAAAAGTGTTCAGGTAAAAAAGTAACAGGATGAGTAAATGACATTTTTAATTTATGGGTCAACTGTTCTTTTAATTCTGTTTTATGTATATATATATATATATACTCTGTTATTCTTTCTTATTATTCTCTTTTTTCTCTCTCTAGATTCTCCCTATTTCTGCTCTTTTACCTTTTTGAGAGGCCAGATTCTCAAACAAGATGTGTTCAATACCCGGTTTGCCAAAAGTTGGATCCAGTACGACTGTTCAGATCACAAGAGTCAATTTAAACCAACAAACGGTTTTAGTACAATTTGGAGGGAGTTTAAATCATGGGCAAGAGACCAGGGAAGCATATCAGCAGCTTAAAAAGACATTGAAGGCCCTAGGAAGCGGCAGCATACTTTTGAAGGCAAACCTGGAGAAGTTTGCTTAGTATATGAAGACAGAACCTGGCACAGAGCAAGGATACTTTCAAAGTCTGAACATGAATACAACTTATTCCTAATTGACGATTGTAAATTGCTTTGGGCCTCAAGCAAAGTTTTTGACAAAATGTCCACGCAACCTTTGCAGTCTACTTCCCAAAGTAGAGCTTTGCATACTGGCCAATGTATCGCCTCTGTGTCTTGAAAGTGCATGGTCTGTGGCTGCTTCAAAGTTCATCATATCTTTGTGTGGGAAAGACATCTCTGGGTGTGTTCAGGATGTGATAATGCCATCCAGAATCATCATTCTTGACATTCCAAGCATATCCAAACAAATGTATGAACTTGGATTTGCTAGAAAGATGCCTAATGAAGACTTCAAAAGCCTTGTAATGCATTCACTGCAGTTTCCAAGAAGAAACCCTTCCCTTCATTGGATTGAGGAAGGAACAGATAGATTATCTGAAGTCTGTTGTACTGGATCAAATCCATGAATACAACTTGTTCCTAATTGACGATTGTAAATTGCTTTGGGCCTCAAGCAAAGTTTTGACAAAATGTCCACGCAACCTTTGCAGTCTACTTCCCAAAGTAGAGCTTTGCATACTGGCCAATGTATCGCCTCTGTGTCTTGAAAGTGCATGGTCTGTGGCTGCTTCAAAGTTCATATTCCTAATTGACGATTGTAAATTGCTTTGGGCCTCAAGCAAAGTTTTTGACAAAATGTCCACGCAACCTTTGCAGTCTACTTCCCAAAGTAGAGCTTTGCATACTGGCCAATGTATCGCCTCTGTGTCTTGAAAGTGCATGGTCTGTGGCTGCTTCAAAGTTCATCATATCTTTGTGTGGGAAAGACATCTCTGGGTGTGTTCAGGATGTGATAATGCCATCCAGAATCATCATTCTTGACATTCCAAGCATATCCAAACAAATGTATGAACTTGGATTTGCTAGAAAGATGCCTAATGAAGACTTCAAAAGCCTTGTAATGCATTCACTGCAGTTTCCAAGAAGAAACCCTTCCCTTCATTGGATTGAGGAAGGAACAGATAGATTATCTGAAGTCTGTTGTACTGGATCAAATCCTTGTTGGAAAATTTGAGCATCACAGTGTGAACGAGGGTGTCTATTATATAACACTTTATGGAAATGACAATGGGAATGTGAACGACACTTTTGGCCACAGAGAGCAGTGTTTGTCAGTAACTGAGAGGATTTGTGATGACCAAACTCTCGAGACTCTAAGCAAAGTGGCACACAAATATATGTATGAGAGAAATGTGCCTGTACGTTCTCTTAATTCAACTGCTTTAACCAGGTGCTCTGATTCTCTTGAAGATGTCACTGTAGCCAGACCTTCCAAAACTGGAAAAAACCTACAGCCTGCAGAGGGACATCGCTCATCGAATGTCGCTGCAGCTCCACCTTTTCAGAATGAAGCATATGTTGTTTCACAACCCAAATCTGAAGTGGGTGCAAAGGAGCAGGTTCGAATAACTTGTATCCAAAGTGTAAACCAGTTCTATGGTCATTTTGCAGAAAATATTGATACGGTTAGGAAAATGACCAAAGATATCCAACAACTTTGCCACCACAAGCAAAGTTTTCAATTTACCCTAAGATGATGTGTCTTGCTAAATACGCCAATGGGCTGTGGCACAGAGGACAAATTTAATCGACCCATCCGAAAATACTCATCCAATTTGTAGACTATGGTGACTTGGTGGTTTTGGATAAATCTGATATTCTGCCACTTTCTCCGAAAGCTAGTGCAATTGCATCCATTCCCATTCAGGCTGTTCAGTTTGA